ACACACACACACACACACACACACACACACGCACACACCGACACACACAGACACACACACAGACACACACACACAGACACACACACACAGACACACACACAGACACACACACACACACACACACACACACACACCAGTAAACCGGTTGACCTGGAGTCTACTCCGACCTCATGGCGACCCCATGTGTGTCAGAGTAGAACTGCGCTTCACCAGGGTTTTCAGTGGCTGATTTTTTGGAAGTTAATTCCAGGCCTTTCTTCCAAGGCGCCACTGGGTGGACTCGAACCTCCAGCTTGCTGGTTTGCAGCCAAGCGCCATAATCACTTGCACCACCCAGGGACTCCAGAGACAGAGATACAGAGAGAGAATTCCAGAACCAGCAAGACACAGAGAGACAGAGACAGAGACTGAATGACAGACACAGAGGTAGGGAGAGACCCCTCCAGAGACACAGAAAGGGATTCATAGAGCCAGAAAGACAAATAGTGGGTCAGAGAGAAAAAGAGAGAGAGAATGAATCACAGAGAGACATAGAGGGAGGAAAAAACACACCCAAGTATTCAGAGAGATCACTCCCCCCGCCCCCCAGGACAGAGAGAGAGATTGACAGAGCTAGAGACAAATAGAGAACAATAGAGAGAAAAGCAAGCATTTATAGAGCCCCCCCCCACCACCACCACACACAGAAAGCCTGAGAGATACAGATAGAGATAGGAGGAGAAATACATACAGAGAGAGGGATAGGGAGAGATATAGGTAGAGATAGGAGGAGAGATATAGAGAGAGACAGGGAGAAAGAGAAATTGAATCTCAAAGAGAGACATAGAGAGAGGGAGGGAGAGACAGAGACCCACAGAGTCACAGCCTCAGACGCAGAGAAAGACTAGAGAAACACAGAGTCAGAGAGGCAAATAGAGACTGGAAGAGGAAAAGACTCAGAAAGGAAGACGCAAGAATTTACAAGATGGACATACAGGGGGAGACCTAGGAATACTGATTCATAGCGAGATAGACAGCGAGTGAGAGAGACAGAGACACCAAGACCCCGAGAAGGGCAGTGACATAAAGACTCAGACAGGGTTACAAGATGAGTGATAGGCATAATTGGAAACGCAGAGAAGGAAATAGAGAGACAGAAATTCCCAGAGACAGGGAGAGAAAAACAGATCCACCGCCAGAGAGAGAGGCGCATTGAGCGAGGGAAAAAGATCCCAGCAAAGAAGAGGAACAGAGACCAAGAGAAAGAGAGACCATCAGAGAGAGACAGAAAATTTTCACAGAGACCCAAAGAGAAATAAAGAGGCAGGTAGCATCAGAGAAAATGAGGCGCCAAGCCTCCCTGTTCACTATTAGAACACAAAGTTTGTTGATTGACATAGTGACCGTCAGAGACCCAGAGATCCGAGCAGAGACGCAGTGAGCTCATAGGGCCCACTGAGGCACCCTAGTGGAGGAAGAAGCCCGCAGGACGACAGATTGGTGGGGGGGCGGGGGGGGGCAAGGCTCACCGGATGCCCGCTCCCTCCAGCCGCCCCGGCAGTAGGCGTGCGCACGTGTGCGCGTGGGGAAGGCATTGGTCCCGCATCTCGGCGGGGGGAGGGGCGCCTTTAAGGCGAAACCCCGCCCCTCAGTCGTCATGGCAACACCTCCCCCCACCCGGGGCTCCCACATTTCAGCAGGTGCCAGAGCTCCTGCCGCCGCCGCCCGTGCCTCGGGCTCTGCGGCGTCCCTTCTTGCGGCTGGTTCCCGCACTCACCCGCTCCCCCTGGCGGATCGGGTGCACTCCGGGCTGCGCGCCCTGCACCCGGAGGTGCCTAACCCCGCTCCACCCAGTCTCGGGATCTCCCTGCGGCTCCTCCAATCTCCTGTATCCCCAGTTCCTTCCTCTTCCACCTGTTCCCCGCCAGAGGCTGGATCCTGGTCCCTCCTGCTCCGTTTCTGGGGCCATGGCAGGCCTGGGCCCCGGCGGGGGCGACTCAGAGGGAGGACCCCGGCCCCTGTTTTGCAGAAAGGGGGCTCTGAGGCAGAAGGTAGTTCACGAAGTCAAGAGCCACAAGTTCACCGCTCGTTTCTTCAAGCAGCCAACCTTCTGCAGCCACTGCACCGACTTCATCTGGTGAGGGCTGGGGGTGCAGACACCTGGCACACCCGAACCCCAAGTGATGAGGGAGGAGGGGGTCGCAGCCTGGACTTCTGAGTCCTGGGGTAGGAGGGGACTGGACTCCTAGGTTGGGGAGAGGGGCTGGGAGCCTGGACTCCTGGGCCCTGAGGGTTGGGGGCTTGAGGAAAGAAGGGACTGGGAGCCTCGACTTCTAAGTCCCAGGAAGAGGGGACTGGGGGTCAGGACACCTAGGTGCTGGGGTAGGAGGGGGATGAGGGCTTGAGGGAGGAGGGCGCGGGAGCCCGGACTCCTGGGTCTGAAGGAGGAGGGGGCTGGGGGCCCGGATTCCTGGATCTGAAGGAGGAAGGGGCTTCGACTCAGACTCCTGAGCCCTGGGGGAGGAAGGGGTGGGAAGTCTGGACTCTTGCATCTGGGGGGAGGAGGGGAACGGGGGCCAGAATTTCTAGGTTTAGGAAGAGGAGGTGGCCGGGATGTCAGACTACAAAACGAGGGTCCGAGGACGCAGACGCCCTATGGCTCGCAGAGGTGGCGGGGGGCGGGGGTACGGGCGCCCCTTTCTGCACTGACCTCAGAATCCTTGGCTCTTCCAGGGGCATAGGAAAGCAGGGCCTGCAATGTCAAGGTAAGAGCAGGGACCCTGGACTCCTGGGACCCTCCAGAGGGTGGAGGCTGGGGCCCCACAGCTGAGGCTGCTCGACACACGTGTTCTCCGGTCCCCAGAGAGGCGCGGGGGAGCCCGAGGCGGGGGGTGTGGCAGAGACACAGCCTGCCGTGGGGAGGGAGCTTGGATGGCGGCGGGGCCGCAGGCGGAGGTGGTGCCAGGGCCCCTCCCTCGGCCGGTTCCAGGTGGGGACAGATATTTGGAGAATCTGTTGCCATGGGAACGGAGAGATTTCAAAAAGGGGAGCTGAAGGGGGGGGACTGGAGATGCAGAGTCAGAGCCCCCCCTCCAGGTTGTCGTCTCTATGGCAACCCGAGCCGTCCTAGGCAGGGGCAGGCCGGGTAGGGTCACCGACGGGCGGTGGGGCGGGGCCCAGGCGGGGCCGGCGGTGATGGGGGGCGGGAAAGGGGGGGCGAGTCCTACAGCACCAGCTGCCACTGCTGAGAACAGCGAGTCAGGGAGGGGGGCGGCCGGTAGCCGGCGCCCCCAGACTCACTTCTGCCCAAGTTGCTGTTCTCTCCGCTCTGTCTGAGGGTATCTCTCTGAGTGTTTTCTCTCTCCAAACCTTCTCTCTGTCTCTCTCCTTCTCCTTTCTTATCTCTGTCTGTGGGCCTGTGTCTGTCTGTCTCTCTCTTTCTCTCTCCCTTTTTGGCTGTGTGTGCCTGCGGGGGTCTCTTTGCTCTATGTCTCTCACTGTGATTCTCCGGGCCTCTGTTTCTGTCTTTCTTCGAGTCCATCTCATGGGTTTCCATTTCCTGGTGTCCGTCTGTCTCTGTCTCTTTCTGTTGTCTCTCTGTCTCTTTGATTTTCTTTCTGCTGGTGGTCTCTCTCTCTCTCTCTCTGTGTGTGTGTGTGTCTGTCTGTCTGTATGTGGGGTTTCTCTTCTAATTTTCTGTCTCCGTTCTCTCTCCTCTCTCTATCTTTTGGTCTCTCTCCCTCTGTGTTGGGGTCTCTCTCTGTGTGTTGGTGTCCCTCTGTCTGTTGGGATCTATCTTTCTCTTTCTGACTTCCTGTCTGTTGGTGTCTCTCTCTGGATTTACCTGTGTCTCTTCCTGTCTCTGGGTCTCTGTGATTCTCACCTGCAGTCTGCAGCTTTGTGGTTCACCGGCGATGCCACGAATTTGTGACCTTCGAGTGTCCAGGCGCTGGGAAGGGCCCCCAGACGGATGTGAGTGCCCAGACACCTGGTTCTTCCTCCTTGGGCCGCGCCCCCGCCCTCACCCCCTCAGCGTCCGTCCCAATTTCTCCTGCTATTTTTAAGGCTGGGAGGGGAGAGGGACTGGGGAGATAGGGGGAGCTCATCTGGCCCAGATTCCCTGCCCTTGGCCTGGAAAGGGGAAACAAGAGGGGGACTGAGACAGTCTGGGGACACAGGTGGGGAACAGAGAGGAGGCAGGGGTGAGGGGACCAAAGACAGGCACCAAAGAGGTTGGGCTGGGACCCTGAAAACACACAGGGCTAAGGGACAAAACAAGAGAGGTGTTGATGCAGACACCGAGATCCTGTGATAAGACGGAGAAAGCATCTCAGAGAGAGGAACAGAGATACATCAGGAGATAGAGACCCAGAGGGAGAGAGTGAGGCAGCAACAGAAAGAGTCCAATGGGACAGAGACAAAGACACAGGGAGAAAGTGAAGGGGATCCAGAGAGACCGAGGGAGACAGAGACAGAAACAGAGAGAGACAGAGATGCTGATAACCTGAAGAGAGACCAACATAGAAAAGGATGGATATGGAGAATGGCTTGGGAGATGCTAAGAGAGGGGAACTCAGAGAGATCCTGCAGTACACATGCACACACACGTGTATGCCTACAGGGACCCCCCCATATAAGCACATACGTGCACACACACACATACACACACGGTCTATCTCTCTCTCTGTCTCTCCAGAGACACATCAGTGGCTTTCAAGAATAGTCAACCCTGGATGCCCATCCTTGTCCCCTCCATCCCTTTCTGTCTGGCTGTAGGCAAACAGTAGACTTGTCCGCTTTTCTCGCTGAGCCTCAGTTTCCACCCCTGTAAAGTGGGGTGGATGGTCTAGTGTTGAGCAATAGAGCTTCGTGCAACAATGGAAATGGTCTATATCGTCGTTGTCTAATATGGTAGCCACCAGCCACGCATAGCTGTTGAGTTTTGAAATGTGGCTCCTGTCACTGAGGAAAGGAAATTTAAATTTCATATCATTAGAACTGATTTAGATTTAAATAGCCACATATGGCTAACAGCTATCTATGGAACATCCCCAGGCTTCTTTTGACAGGTCAATGAAGTCACATGGGTTAAGAGTTTATCCTGAGGTTTGACATAGGATTGGGGATGGTTTTATGATCAGTGGATGGAGAGAGAGACAGACAAAGAGAAGGAGAAACAGAGTGAGAGAGACTCACAAAAGGCCATGAGGCATTTTGCTAGTTTGTCAGATGAAGAAAATTAAAGTAACCTCCATAGAGGAAGTGACTTCCTAGAACATTTATTGAGCATCACTGCCTACTAGCATCTAAATACATTATTGATTGTTTCACTGGTGGCTGCCTTACCTGCTCACCTCCACCAACAACACTGCTGTTTTGTTGTTACGCATCGTGAAGTTGATTCTGACTCATAGCGACCCCATATGACAGAGTAGAACTGCCCCATAGAGTTTTCTAGGCTGTAATCTTTATGGGAGGAGTCCTAGTGGCACAGTGGTTAAGCACTTGGCTACTAACCAAAAGGTCAGTGGTTTAAACCCACGAGCCGCTCTGCGGGAGAAAGATGTGGCGGTCTGCTTCTGTAAAGAAACCCCATGAGACAGTCCTACTCTGTCCTTAGGGTAGCTATGAGTCAGAATTGACTCGACGGCAGTGGGTAATCTTTCTGGGAGCAGATCACCAGGTCTTTCTCCCGCCAGGGTGGGTTCAAACCACCAAGATTTTTTTTTCTTTTGTTTATTGTAGTTGAAATGAAGTTTACATTTCAAGTTAGTCTCCCATACAAAAATTTATACATGCATTGTTATGTGACCCTAATTGCTCTCCCCATACTGTAACAGCAAACTCCTCCTTTCCGCTCCTGATTCCCCATGTCCATTCAACCAGCTCCTAACCCTCTCTGCCTTCCCATCTCACCTCCGGACAGAAGCTGCCCGTTTAGTCTCTTGTACCTACTTGAGCTAAGAGGCACACTCCTCACGAGTATGACTTCATGTCCCACAGTCCAGTCCAATCCCTGTCTGAAGAGTTGGCCTCAGAAATTATTTTAGTTCTGGACTGATAGAGAATCCAGGGACCATGCTTTACAGGGTTCCTCCAGTCTCAGTGAGACCATTAAGTCTGGTCTTCTTAATAGAATTTGAGTTCTGCACCCCACTTTTCTGTTGTGTTCCCTGTCAGGGCGGTCATTGGTGGTAGCTGGGCACGATCTAGTTCTTCTGGTCTCAGGCTGATGAAGTCTCTGGTTTATGTGGCCCTTTCTGTCTCTTGCAAACCACCAACTTTTTGAATGGCAGCCGAGCACTTAATGGTTGTACCACCAGGGCTCCATGCCACCAACACTAGTTCTCATTTATCAAATGCTCATTGCATGCACTGACCAGCATAGGGAGGAATCTGCACACCACCTTATAAGGTTAGGTCCCCATGTGAGTGCAGGCTCCAGATCCAGAATACCTGGGTTCAAATCCTGCCTCCACCACTTAATAGTTCTGTGCCACTTCTGCAAGCTAATTTACCTGTCTGCGTCTCTGGAGCTCCTCTCTGTAAAATTGGAATGGTAGTACCAGTACCAGTTGCTGTTGAGTCGATCCAACTCATGGCAACCCATGTGTGTCAGACTAGAACTGTGCTCCACGGGGTTATCAGTGGCTGATTTTTTGGAAGTAGATCACCAGGTCTTTCTTCCAAGGCACTTCTGTAGTAGGCAATGGAAGGAATTTGGATTTCGTTTTTGGTGTGTTTATTTGTAGCATCCTGGGGGAAAGATGCTGATAAGGATTCCAGAAAAATCAAAACCAAACTAGTTGCCATCAAATCGATTCCAACTCATGGCGACCCCATGTGTGTCAGAACAGAACTGTGCTCCATAACGTTTTCAGTGGCTGATTTTTTGGAAGTAGATTACCAGGACTTTCTTCCAAGGTGCCTCTGGGTGGACTCTAACCTCCATCCTTTTGGTTAGCAGCCCAGTTTGTTAACCATTTGCACCACCCTGAGACGTAAATGATAATAGCACTCACCTTATAGGATTGTTTTGAGGACTAAACAAGTAAAATACTTGGGATGGTATTTGGCACATAGCAAGAGCTAAAACATTAATTATTATTTTTATTGTTAAAATTATTATTACTGATGAGGAAACAAAGGCGAATCGTAAGGAGGTCTTCTTCAGCATCACTTTCTCTAGCTTTTTCATTGTTAATGCTTTTGGTCTTGTAAAGGTCCCTGGGTGGCGCGATTGGTTTGTGCTCAACTACTAACCTAAAGGTTGGTAGTTTAACCCACCCTGAGGTGCTGCAGAAGAAAGGCCTGGCGGTCTGCTTCTGTAAAGATCACAGCCATGGAGCAGTGGAGCAGTTCTACTCTGTAACACATCTTGTCTCCATGAGTCAGAATCAACTCAATGATGATGGATTTGGTTTTTTGGCTGTAGTCTTGGATCGACTGATTAGGAAGTGTTCAGGGTTTGACAAACAGGATTTTGTTTAGTCCTCCCAAGACCCCCTTGAGTAGGGGTCCGTGGCCCCATTTTACAGAAGAGAAACCTGAGGTTCTGAAAAGGGAGGACACAGCTAGGTAGTGGACACGGTCAAAATGTGGACCCTGATCTAACCAGCGCTCCAATGCTATCTCATTTTTAATAAGGACTTTGACCTTGAGAATAGTAGTAACAGCTTCTGTCAAAGTGTATGTGCCAGGCACCCTGCTGAGGGCTTTTACACACAGTATGTCATTTAGCCCCACAGGTACCTTTGAGCTGGGGTCAGCTGAAGATCTTTAGAGACCCAGAGCATTGAAAGAGATGAAGGCAACCGCCACCACCCTCCCCCCACCCAATATAATTCAAAAATAGAAAACACATTAAACTGCAAAATAAATGAAAGTCTAAGAAAGTTCTGAATTTTCACCCTGTCATGACTCTTTCAATGCATTCTTGGGGAAAAAAAAGGCAAAGACCAAATTATTTAACACCCAGACCCGGCTGGGGGTGGGGAAGTGGGAGGAGGTTTGCTTTGCTTTGCTGGTGTCCTAAATTCCTGCTTATTCAAACTCTGGGAATCTAACATGCTTCAAGATGTGGATTGTTTATTTTCACTTGTCAGAGGAGGATGCTGAGGCTCGAAACTGGGAACGAACTTTCCCCAAACCACACAGCTGGGAAGTGGCTCAGCTCTTATTTACACCCAGGTTTATGTAAGGATTGCAGTAAAATCACTAATCATAACCAGAACAATAAAAACAGCAGTAAGAGTAACTGTCCAACTGGGTACAATTAACATGCCAGGCCCTGCTATTATTTCACTGAGGTTTCCTGGGTCCCTGTAGAGGAGCCCTGGTGGTGCAGTGGTTAAAGTGCTTGGCTGCTAACCAAAAGGTTGTAGGTTCGAACCCACCAGCAGCTCCACGTGAGAAAGATGTGACAGTCTGCTCCTATAAAGATTTACAGCCTTGGAAACCCTATGGGGCGGTTCTACTCTGTCTGTAGGGTCACTATGAGTTGGAATCGGCTCAACGGCTCATCTGCAATGGGTTTTGGTTTTTTGGGTCTCTGTAACGGAGGAGTCGTATTTCCCATCCCACAGAAGACCCAGAGAAGGCATACCAGACACCAAGCAAGGGTTGGAACCCAGTGCAGACACTGACATAGGCTGGCAGTGAAAGATCTAGAATTCAGCGTGGACCTCAAGTCCTCAGAAAACTGCTTTCGGGAACTGTGGAAGGCAGGCACTATAGAATGATGAAACCCCCCACCTCCTTTAGGGTCTACTCAAATGCTTTTTGTCCATGAGACCTTCCCTGACCACACTTTAAAATTTCAATTCCCCACCCCTCGAGGTCCCAAGGAACCCTGGTTGCACAATAATTAAGCGCTTAGCTGCTAACTGAAAGGTTGGCGGTTGGAATCCACAGAGTGGCTCAACAGGAGAAAAGACCTGGTGATCTGCTCCTGTAAAAATTATAGCCTATCCTGAGGTTCACCCTTAAGCCAAGATTAGACAGGCCCATAAAACAAAATGGGACTAAACTGGCACACGAGCCCAGGGGCAAGGACTAGAAGACAGGAAGGGACAGGAAAGCTGGTAAGAGGAAACCCAAGGTCGAGAAGGGGAGAGTGTTGACATATCATGGAGTTGGTAACCAATGTCACAAAACAGTATATTTACTAATTGTTTAATGAGAAGCGAGTTTGTTCTGTAAACCTTCATCTAAAGTACAAAAAAAAAAAAAAAAATTACAGCCTAGGAAACCCTATGAGGCAGTTCTACTCTGTGGTATGCGGTCGCCAAGATTCCAAATCGATTCAAGGGCACCTCACATCAACCCTTCGGAGTCCCAGTTCCTCTTCCCTGCTTCATTTTTCTCCCGAGCACCATCATACTATTTATTCATTTACTTTCTTTACGGAAACAGACTACCACATCTTTCTCCTGCGGAGCTGCTGGTGGGTTCCAACCGCCAGCTTTTGGGTTAGCAGCCCAGTGCTTAACTACTTTGTCACCAGGGCTCTTCATCTGCAAAGATTACAACCTAGGAAATCCCATGGGGGCAGGTCTACTCTGTCGTGTGGGGTCGCCATGATTCAAAATCAACTCAAGGGCACCTAACAACAACCCCTCGGAGTCCAGGTCCCTCTGGCCGGCTTCATGTTTCTCCGGAGCACCATCATACTATTTATTCATTTACCTTGTTTATTTCCCATCTCCCTTCCTAGAACGTGAACTCCACGTGGACAGGGGTTTTTTATATTTGTTTTGTCCACCGTTGGTTCCTGGCACCAAGAACGGTGCCTGGCACACAGGAGGCGTTCAATAAATACTTGTAGAGTGAGTGAGAGGGAGCAACAAGAAGACTAAGAGATCAAGGCGGAAGGAGGCAGAGAGGCGGCGCTCCTTTCCCAGGGACCTAAGACCCTTTCCCCTCAATCGCGCGACTGACGGCCTCTTATTCGCCCCCCAGGACCCCCGGAACAAGCACAAGTTCCGCCTGCACAGCTACAGCAGCCCCACTTTCTGCGATCACTGTGGCTCCCTCCTTTACGGGCTGGTGCACCAGGGCATGAAATGCTCGTGTGAGTGTCACGCCTGCTGCCCACGCCAGAATTGGGGGTTTACAGGCCCCTTCTGGCAAACGCTGGCGGTGGAGTCTGGGGTTGGGGGCGGGGCCTGCAGTGCGACTTCCCAGTGTTGTACCCCCAGGCTGTGAGATGAACGTGCACCGGCGCTGCGTGCGAAGCGTACCCTCCCTATGCGGGGTGGACCACACCGAGCGCCGCGGGCGCCTGCAGCTGGAAATTCGGGCCCCAGCTTCGGATGAGATTCACGTCACGGGTGAGGCCCTGCCCTCTTGTCTGGCCCCGCCTCTTTCCCCAGGTGTGGGGCAGAGCCTACTGAATTCACCTAAGGCTGGTCCCACACCAGGTCCCTGGGTAACAGTCGCTTCGCCCTAGACTACTAGCGTAAAGGTTGATGTTTCAAATCCACCCAATGGTTCTGCGAAGGAAAGGCCTGGCGATCTGCTTCCATAAAGATTACAGCCAAGAAAATCCTATGGGGCAGTTCTAATCTGTAACATACGGGGTTGCCCTGAGTCAGAATTGACTCCACAGCAATGTGTTTTTGTTGTTGCTGTCTTGTTGTTTGGCCCCAAACTTAACGTAGAGGCCACGCCCTTCTGGGAGGTCATGCCCACGCTGCTAGCCTCACCTCCCCAGGCTGAGCACCAAAACAGCCAGGCCTCTCCTAGCTCGAAGCCACACAGCCAGCCTTTGCTTCCTTCAACTGTCAGTGGCTTTTAATGGCTCATCTAGGTATCAGAATTCTTGCCTGGGTGGATTGGGAGGCCTTTGTTCTAGGGAGGCTGAGGTTTCCTACTGGTGACATAGGCAGAGTCCAGGGTTTGATTGCTGTTCTGTATGCTCTTTCTTCTGGGTACTGGAGAGGTAAGAGATGGGGACTTGGACTCCTGGGTCCTTGGTTGGGGAGAAGGCAGGTGATCAAGGCTCCTAGATCCTGAGGAGGAAGACAGGGTTTTTGTTTGCTGACTGGGGAGAAGACTAATACACTCTACCCTCCCTCGTCTCTCCCTTCAGTGGGTGAGGCCCGTAACCTCATTCCAATGGACCCTAATGGTCTGTCGGATCCCTATGTGAAACTGAAGCTCATCCCAGACCCTCGGAACCTGACAAAACAGAAGACCCGGACAGTGAAAGCCACATTAAACCCCGTGTGGAACGAGACCTTTGTGTTGTGAGCCTCGGGTGCAGGGGAGGCTGTGATGGCTGACAGAGAACAATCTGAGGGTCTTGGTGGCCCGCGAGTCCCCAGATAATAGCTGGTGGGAGGTGTTAGGATACAGGGAATCAAAAAAAAAAAAAAAATGGAGGGGGGAGGGCAGAAGGAGGTGGGGAAAGGGAATAGCGTGATTGAGAGAGATACAGAAGCCAAGAGAAATAGTTAGGCATTTAGGTATTTAACATCCTTGAAAGCCCACCACACTGGGGACATGGATATGAAAACTACTTGGTCCCTGCCCTCCAAGCATTTCCAAGCTTGGAGTGGGATAGTAATAACAGTAATACAGTGAAACCTGTGAGAGCTGGAACTTGACAATGGGACTGTCTCGTTTTTTCTGGGTCTCACCAGTTTTCCGCCTATGACAGAGTGTAGTCTTACCACTTTGTTTATTTTTACCACTTTTCTATTGCTCATTTTAATGGAAAATATTTTAGTTTTCCTTTTCTGACAGGTTTCCACTTTACACAGGTTCTGGGTTTCGCAGGTTTTATTGTAACAATAGCTAACTTCAGGGGAAGACAAAGACAGAGATCCAGGGTGGGACTGAGACCAGAGACCCAAAGAGAGAGAGAGAGAATAAACAGACTCAGAGGGGATGGGGACAGAGAAGATCCAGAGAGACGGAGAGAGGGAGAGAGACCCCTGGGTAGGGATAGGCAGAGAAGACCCCAAAGGGAGAGACTAAGAGACACAGAGAAAACAGATTAAGAGGAAGAGGAAAAAGGGCCAGAGATCTGTAATTGGGGGAGGGGGAAAGACAAAGACGAGGAGGGGGCAGAGAAAAGCCCTAAAAAAAGCAAACACCTGAATGGGGGGCACAAGTACACAGAAAGATGGAGACCTGGGGGTAGGAGGTACAGACCCTGAAAGAGAACTAGAGTGACAGAGAACCAGAGAAAGGTACAGAGACACAAAGAGAGACATAAGCAGAAAGACAGGGACCAGACAGAAAGCGAGAGACTCAGAACGAGGAAAAAAGAAAGACCAAATGAAGTGATGCAAGGAGAGATGGAGGCAGTGGAAACAATCCAGAGCAAAAAGAAATTGGGCGTCGGGGTGCAGGCAGAGGCCTAGAGAGGGAAAGAGAACTAGAGAGAGAGAGAGACAGAAAAGGCAGGAGAAAGAGAAAGCGAGATAGATTGAGAGAGTTCCGTGGAGTGAGACAGATCAGAGAGAGCAAGAGGAATTCCCCCCCCGCAAACCAAACTCATTGCCATCGAGTTGATTCCGATTTCTAGCCACGCTGTACAACAGAGTAGAATGCCCCACAGGGTTTCCTAGGTTGTAATCTTTACAGAAGGAGGAATCCTAGTGGTGCAGTGGTTAAAGTGTTGGGTTGCTAACCAGAAGGATGGCAGTTCGAACCCACCAGCCCTTTCCATGGGAGAAAGAAGTGGTAGTCTGCCACATCTGTTAGCAGCCGAGTGCTTAACCACTGCACCACCTGGACTCCTTAGCAAGAGGAATAGGGCCATCAAAACAAAAACAAAAAACCAAGGACAGATTCAGAGCAGAACCACAGGCAGACACACAGATACCCAGAGAGGTGTACAGTGGGGGGAAAGGGACAGAGAGAGAGAGAGACAGGGACCCAGTGAGAAAAAACAGACCCTGAGAAAGACCGAGCCCAGAGGAGGAAAAGAGAAACAGATGTCAGTGCAGATGTGCAGAAAGAGACAGACAGTCAAAGGTAGTTACCAAGGGAAAAAGGAGAGAGAGAGACCCAAAGAGAGGGAGGAGAGGGTCTTAAACGAAGAGTCACAAACCCAAAGAGAGATACAGACGGAGTCAGTGTGGAGGTTGCGGGGAAAGGGGTTTTGGTGAGGTGGGGGTGGGTGAATGGGTGGGGGGGGGGCAGGCAGATGGCAGACAGGAAAAGAGACAGAAAGGGGCAACTGACACAAATACAGAAGGACAGCGACCCAGAGGGAGAGACGCAGAATAGGAGAAACCAGGAGACAAGAATGGGGAGGGAACCAGAAGTGCGGGAGGGCAGGAGAGAACCAATGAGAGAACTGTCTAGGGTTCCTTAAGATCCCCATAGAGGGAAAGAGACTCCCTTCGGAAGGAACTGAGGTGGGAAGGCCCTTTACAGAGCAGGCAACAGACGCCCAAGGACCCCAGCTCGCCGGGTGGGTCCCACCCCCAGCACTAAGATGTGGAAGTGGGGAAGCCATGACTACCGCCCCTCACTGCGTCCCACCTTCCCGCAGCAACCTGAAGCCGGGCGACGTGGAGCGCCGGCTCAGCGTAGAGGTGTGGGACTGGGACCGCACTTCCCGCAACGACTTCATGGGGGCCATGTCCTTTGGGGTGTCGGAGCTGCTCAAGGCGCCAGTGGACGGCTGGTGAGGGCGGGGCCGGGGGCCAGGGGCGGGGCCTCAGCATCTCCACCTTCGTCTGTGCGCTCTCTCCTCTCTGCCGCTAACTTTCCCTCTACTCCCCTGCAGTAATTCCCTTCCCTTCCCTTCTTCCCTTCCTCCCTTTCCTCCTCCTCCTCTTCTCTCCTCCTCCGTCTCACTCTTCCTTTCTCTCCGTGTCTTCTTCCTTTCCCTTCCCTTCTTCCCTTCTCCTCTCCTCCTCCTCCTCCTCTTGTTCTTGTTCTCTTCCTCTTCTTCTTGTCCTCCTCTTCTTCGTCTTCTTCTCTCTCCCCTTATCTCACTCTCGCTCTCTCTCCATCTCTGTGTCTGTCTCTCTGTGTCTCTTTCCCCCCTTCGGATGTCTCTGCCCCTCCCGTGGGTGCCCCGCCTCCCCCACCTGCTCTGGTCTGACTGCGTGTTAGGTACAAGTTACTGAACCAGGAGGAGGGCGAATATTATAATGTACCGGTGGCCGACGCTGACAACTGCAGCCTCCTCCAGAAGTTTGAGGTACCCAGACCCGGGCTTCCCCTGGGGCACCCAGCCCAGCCTCCCAAAGCTCAGAGCTGGTCCCTCGCACCACCCAATAGTACCCACTAGTCCTGGGACTACAATTCCCAGAAGACCCTGGGGCTCCTTCCTCTGCTCTTGTAGGGGCCTCTAATCCCAGGGCCTGATGGGAATCATAGTTCCTATCCATCCCCATGGCTGGAGGGTAATGTGGGCCTCTACCCCCTGCTCTCCCGGGGCCCTGACTCTGACTTTCTTCTTTCCTAGGCTTGTAACTATCCCCTGGAACTATATGAGGTGAGTAGAGCTGAGATGCTGAATGGAGGCAGTTTCATTCTCATGGTCTCTTTCTCTCTCCATTTTTCCCACCTCTGTTTTCTGCCTTCAGTTTCATGCACATTGGTTGACCACGTACTTTGTGTAGGTTCTGTGCTCGCTGAGCAATCCCAGGGATTCAGGTGAATCCAGCTTTCTCCCTACCCTCAAGCAGCTCCCCAAGGGCACAGATACTTAAAATGTAGGCTGATGAGCTAAATTCAAAGCAGCTCAGGGCACACATGGGTTGTCATGAGTCGGACTGGACGGGACAGCAACTGGTTTTGTTTTTGGTCCAGGGCACTGAAGGAGCATGGAGGGGGCAGTAACCCAGCTAGGGGGAAGGTGGTCAGGAAGGACTTCCCAGGGGGGAGGCAACACCTGAATTGATTCTTGAGTCTATCTGTCACGGTGGCCTTTCTCTTATCCATTTATTCACTCACTCATTAAACGCCTATTTCCTGAGGTGCTGGGTAAGCCAAGCCCTGCTGCAGGTGATGCCTGAGTAGAGTCGGGCAACTCCCTGGGGAAGAGGAGGGGGCTTCTCTTTTTATGGAGGAGAGAGTTACAGACAAAGATGTTCACACCAGGAAGAAATGTGTGTGTGAATGGTGGCAGCCTTGGGCACCAGGGAGTCCTGGTACAGCCTGGGAGTCAGAGGAAGCTTCAAGAAAGGTGAGTCCTGGAGAAAGTTCAGGATTTTCCAGTAAAGAAAAAACCAAAAAATCCCGTTGCCACAGAGTCAATTCTGACTCATAGCGACCGTACAGGACAGAGTAGAACTGCCGCATAGGATTTCCAAGGCTGCAATCTTTATGGAAGCAGACTGCCACATCTTTCTCCCAAGGAGTGGCTGGTGAGTTCAAACCGATGACCTTTTGGTTAGCAGCCGAGCCCATAACCACTGCACCACTAGAGCGCCAAGGTAAAGAGGAGACAAGATTTCCAGGCAGAAGGAAGGATGCTCTCTTCTGTCTTCATTCTCTCAAAAAACAAAAAAAAACAAAAAAAAAACCCACCTTGCTGAGCACCTCTGTGTGCCAGATATGGTTCTTCTTCACAGCAGTGAACACACACACACACACACACAAAACCAAACCTATTGCCATCGAGCCAATTCTGATTCATGGCAACCCTATAAGACAGAGTACATAGCGACCCTATAGGATAGAGTAGAACTGCCCCAATCGGGTTTCCAAGGAACAGCTGATGGATTCGAACTGCCGACCTTTTGGTTAGCAGCCGTGAACAAGACAGAAAAAAATTCCTGCCCTCGTGGGGCTTACCCTCAGGGCAGGAATGTAAACAAATAATTAACAAATAAATTGACCAAGTTCAACAAAAAGTATTAAGTCAATTAATAAATTTTATTATAGTAATCAAAACAAATAAGTAAATGATAATATGTCAGAAGATAAGTGATATCGAGAAAAAACCAGTAACCAGTAAGTGACTCATGGTGATCTCATGTGTGTCACAGTAGAACTGTGTGTTCTCCATAGGGTTTTCAATGGCTGTGACTTTTTGGAAGTAAATCGCCAGGCCTTTCTTCTGAGGCGCCTCTGGGTGGACTTTTGTTTAGCAGCCAAGTGTGTTAGCCATTTGCACTACCCAGGAATTCTCAGAACTCGGAAGGCACCAATTAATATTACACAATGAGCACCTATGTGCCAGGTCCTGAGCTAGGTACTGACCAAAACGAAACCCATTGCCATCGATTGATTCATGACTGATTCTGACTCATAGCAACCCTACAGGACAGAATAGAACTGCCCCATAGGGTTTCCAAGGAGCGTCTGGTGGATTCAAACTGCCAGCCTTTTGGTTAGCAGCCATAGCTCTTAACCACTATGCCACCAGGGTTTCCGAGCTAGGTACTGGGGAGGAGCCTTACTGAGTTCCAGGCACTGTTCTAGATGCTTTGTATATGTTAATTTATTTAATCCTCAAAAAGTCCCTGTGTGGGAGATACTCATTATCCCTGTTTCATAGATGAGGAGATGGTGATAATCCCAACAAGTAGCAGATCTGTAGTGTTAAAACAAAAATCATATTAAACCAGTAATAGAAAATGATTGAAGTTTATTTGATATATAATTTGCAAATCGTGTAACATTTTGACTAGAGAGTCAAAAAATGTTCTGAAGATGAATGAAGTCATTCCTGAGGTTCATCCTTCAGCCAAAGATAAGACAGACCCATAAAACAAAATGAGACTAAAGGGGCACACCATCCCAGGGACAAGGACTAGAAGACAGGAGGGGACAGGAAAGCTGGTAATAGGGAACCCAAGGTAGAGAAGGGAGAGGGTTGACATGTCATGGGGTTGGTAACCAATGTCACAAAACAATATGTGTACTAACTGTTTCATGAGAAGCTAGTTTGTTCTGTAAACCTTCATCTAAAGTAAAATTAAAAAAAAAAATGTTACGAAGATGAGAAGAACTTCCAAAATTCTTATACCACATCTTATTGGCATTGCCATGGAAAAAGGGCCAGAACAGAACTGATAAACAATTTGTGGTTAGGAAGAATTTCATACAGCACTGTCTTGAAGAACAATTAAAATAATGACTGATTTACCCTAAAACATAGCTCCCAGTCTCACCTTTGGAGCCTCTGTTTTCCGAAACTGACTGAATTCTTCAAAAGAGCACAATGCCCAAGGCAAAACAGTCTTACTAGTTATCCAGACCATTGTTTGACTCAAATGTGACTTTTTAGAAACAGTTTCTTCAAGGCTCAAGGTTCAAAAGGACACCTAAGGGCAAATGGCCCAGATGGTCACCCCAACTCCATGGACCCCAGAAATCTGGATTCAAGAGAATTAAAATGGTTTCCCAGTAGCAACAAGTCAGCAACAAGCAACAAGTCTGAACCCAGGTGGTCAGTCTCCAGACTGCCCCTCTGCACTGTTCCATAAATATTTTTTCTTTTTTATTGTACTTTAGATGAAGGTTTACAGAACAGAGAGTTTCTCATTAAACAGTCAGTACACATATTGTTTTATGACATTGGTTAACAACCCCACGACATGTCAACACTCTCCGTTCTCGACCTTGGAGGACCT